TGCTATGACTCAGCTCCAATTCAAAAGCAGTGAGTTCGGTGTGGTTTTGTGGTGCAGTGCCTAAGTCATTTGACTGTAACCAGAAGATTGGTGGTTCAAACCCATCAGCTGCTGGGTGGAAGGAAGATAGGACAATCAATTTGGAAAGTTACTGGGGGTCTCTGACTCAGAATCGACTCAATGGCTATTAAGTTTTTTGGGGGTACTTTAAATGAATGTCATTTAGAGGAAGCTGCCTAACACTAAGGTCTTAACTATAACTACAAAATTACTCTCAAAACAAACTTTCTCCACCATCTTAAAAAAAAACTGGAGAAAGAATCCCAATAAAATGGTGTTTAACTCAATAACTAGATTTGCTGCCCAAAATTTAATTAAAAAAAAAAAAGTCAAGAACATTTATCCACAAGGCTTTTCAGCAAGACTATATAGACTAAAAGACTTTCAGCAGTATTTTGCTAAATAGCCATTTAAATGTCGAAACTAAGAAAAGTATATGCTCCATGTATATATCCCACTGCAGCCCCTTCCTCTCTCAGATGGACCTAACCACCACCTCTCAGAATGAGAAGCCCCACTCCTCAGAAGGAAGACAGGGCAATCTACTTCCATAGAGATACCACCTCAGAAACCCAAGGAGAGGGTCCACTACGAGTGGAATCTGACTTGATGGCAGTGAGTTTGGTTTGGTTTTTGGTTAGTGCAGTTGCTCAGCACTGTGGCAGTCATGCTGTCTAGCTGATGAAAGTCATTCCAAATCCATGCTATGCATTCATACTCAGGGGATAATGAAACAGCCACCCAGACCTCTGCTACTCCTCTGGAGTTCAGTGAGCCACCAGGCTCCAACTTAAAGCAGATGACACAACCACCTACTCTATTTATTTTAGTTCTCCACTCTCCTCCCATCTACCTCAACTGTCTGGGGATCGTCATCCATCCTTCCTTCCTAATATCTCTGTTGTTTTGGAAGAAAAACAAAAATCCATCTTATTTCAAAGATTAATCTCTCTCATTTGGGATTTTGAGTTCACCTTCTCTATCTTCTGTCATCCCACACTCTCCATTTCCTGTCATCCCACTCTCTCCTGTATTTTCAACTTCTCCCTTTTCTGTGGGCTGCTTTTAAAGAGCTAAAGTCTCTACTCTTCTGAAAAGAAAAACTAAACACCGAAAAAAGCAAATGAAGAAGCCTTCACCCCCTTCTCAAATTAGCACCATAACCCCTTCTCCTACCTTTCCTTGCTAAATGTATTACAAAGTATATTCTCAACACTTGGTAACTGGTAGTGGCACTCCTATTTATAAATCCCAAACCAA